TTGGGGAAGTGAAGATGCCTGAGTAACCAATAGTGTTATAAAGTAACTAAAATATTCCTTGTAGGATAAATTATTGGAGGTCTGGGAGCTTCCTTGAGCTTTTGTAAAGACCAGTGTAATGATTTTCTTAATATGTAACAAGTTAATTTGTTTCTGGCTTTAAAAAGTATCTGATTGCTTTAGAAAGTTCTTATTAAGCTAAGGGTCTTTGAGGTATTGAGTGTTGTAGAAAGAAGAATCCATTGGTTGGAGTACATTCAGAGGGAGTAAAGAGCTGAAAAATATTCCAGAAGAATGTTCACTGTAGAGGTAGTTTTAAATAATGATGTGGAGCTGTTTCAGTTACAGGTTGTTTTCGATGGTGCAGTAGGTTCTGAAAAGAAAAAGATGTTAACCTTTAGGCTTAAGAAAAAATTCTTTCTGTTCCTTAGACTTTTCACTAATTGATTTTTTAAAATTTTGTAGACTGTGTTCTTTGTATCTTACATCATTATATTAAAACTATCTTAGGGTGTACAAGAAAATGTGAACGAGTTGAGTTAAAACCCGGATTAATCTTTAGAGTTTTTTGGTCTGAAAGGACTTGGTCAAGACAGGGCTGTTTACTAATGTGTGAGTTTGTTAAATCTTTTTCAAGACAACAGGCTGCTCACTTTTTGCTCTTACTTACATGTAAGTGGATCAGTATTTACATCTCCACGTGTAAGAGATTATTTTAAAATTAATTTGAAGATAATAATGCTCATTTGTAAGAGACTTAGTGGAGAGTCATAGTACCTCTTAAATAATTTGCTTCCATGAGAAAAACAGGCACTGTGATTTGCTATAATTGCTGTGTTTAAAGAACAGAAGAAATGTAAGTTCATTTAAATTAAACTGGGAAAGCATAACATTAAATATTAATATCAGCTAGATATTCATGGTATTGATTTTCATTGAGTTATACTTTCAAAATATCGTTGTTTAGTGATAAGTATTTAAATCAATAACTTAAAACCCAGATTGGGGAAAGTTAATAGGTTGCTATAAGATATTCCACTTGATTGTATTCTCTAATGCTCTCCAGCTACCCAATTATTTTCTGTTTCAAAAGATTATTCTAAGAAAACAGGGGTCATTCATTTAGAAAAAACTTCAAGGGCCTAATAGTGACCTATGATTTCTTGCGAGAGTACAACTTAGAAAATTATGTGGTGGAATTACTTCTGCTGCAACTTGTGCTAGAGTCTTTCTCCCTCCCTCCCTGTCTCCCTCTTTCCCTCCTTTCCATTTGTCATGCTCGTTAAGTTTAATGGGTTTGTGTAGCAGAGCCTATTCAAGACTTATGAGTTTTATTTTATTTTATTTTTGTTTTTGTGGTGCTGGGTGATTGAACTATTGGTCCGTCCTGCACATGCTATGGAAGTACTCTACTGCTGAGCTACATCCATAGCACTGGATTTTCCATTTTGAGGCTTAAAAGCCTTCTTGGAGGACTTAATGACAAGAATCAGTGCTTGAGCTGTGATATTTTTAAATTGCTTAATATTTACATGTTTGAAGCATGTCAGTATTTTATTTTTCACAGTATTAGAACTGCTGAATAGGTTGTACATATGTGGGCTGGCCTTAAACTGCAAATTTCTTAATTATGGGCACATTTACTATTTCTCTTAAGGTTTTGTTTATGTATTTACCTTTTTGGGATATACCTAGTAAGATGAGATTGATTACAACAGATGTCCCCGGGGGAGGAAGATCACATTTGCTGAGTTGCATAATTTGTGGTAGTCTTCTTAGTAGTTTACATGGAAAAGATAATTTTTAAAAATTGGCAGATGGAAAGAAGAGGCTGTTAGATTACAAAATAGCATGATAGAAAGTTCTGAATCTGACTTGGGGGCAGAGAAGTAAAAGATGTAAGCAAGTCTGTGTGTAGGCGTGTCTGTCTGTGTTCTTGTTGAAACATGAGAAGTTGTGACTGGAATAAGGGAGGAAGAAGATCGGTAAGAGGCATGAAAAGCCTACGTGGCATTTTTGAAATTGCTAAGAAAAGCAGGGGGTTGTATTGGGCAGTGGATATGCAAAACTTTAAATATCCTGGTGATTGGGTACTTAGTGGTTGTGAGTGTGTGGGATGAACACGGATGGAGGAGAGTTGTGAGAGTCTTTGTAGCTGAATGAGCAAGATACTAACACAAATACTTGATAAGATGTCAAGATAAGCAATTTTCAACTCATGAAGAAGGAAGAATCCATGGGTTACGGTAATAAAAGAGGAAACAAACCAGAATTAAAACTATAAACCTTTGTTTATAGCTTATGTTCTTAAATAAAAATAAAATGAATTGTTCATATATTTATAGATACTTTTCACATAGATCTTATTTTTGAGAGGTACCCAATAATTTTAATTTTTTAAATTTATTTTTTTTTCAGTACTGGGACTTGAACTTAGGGCCTCAGCTTACTAGTCAGATACTCTGTTACTTGAGCTACACTCCCAGCCCTTTGTGCTTTAGTTATTTTTCAGGTAAGGTCTCAGATTTTTTCCTAGGAGAGCCTCAAATGTGATCCTCCTTACACTTCTCACTAGCTGGGATCACAGTTGTACAACCACCTTGCCCAATGTATTGGTTGAGATTGGATCTCACTAGCTTTTTACCCAGCCCTTGAACCTCGATCCTACTGTTCTCTGCCTCAAGTAGTTGTAATCCCTTACAGGCATGAGTTGCCATGCCCAGTTATTCTTTTTTAATCCATAATTTGTAATGAGACTTTTCATTTTTATTTTACCTAACTTCCTAGACCTTTGGTTATATAATTCCTGCTTTCTAGACATATATGATTTTAATAGCTTCTCTTCGAGTTGTCCAGTTTCATTTTCTACCCCTTACCTTAGGTGTGACAGTAATCCATATCAGCTCCGGGTCTGTTTTCTCATTGTGTCTACTCTTGCTCATTTCATTTGCCTTGGTATCTCACTACCTTTCTGTATAGATTAGGTCTTTTTGACTACTTCATCTGCTTTGCCCTCCCACTTCTCATTGCCTTTAACTGAAACTATAGATGGTATGGCTCATGTTGAAGTGGTGAAACTGACTTCTTATTCTGCCTAAACCTTATCTTTCTTCCTAATTCATCCTTCATACCTATCTTTGTAGTCACTAAGGGAGGTATAATCATAAAACTAATACTGAAAGAGAATGAATATAAATTGGCCTTTAACCCATTTTTTCCCCTAGCCCCGCAGTCTCTCTCCCACTAGTTTGAAATCAGTGTCTGACCAATTCTGATATGTCTGAGCTACAGTAACCTCTTAAAGTAGCTGCATGTTCCCTCGAATATCTTGAAGGTCATCTTAACTTACTTTATCATTTGGAAAAAAGAAAAGCCCAAGTTATCCAAGGATAAGCACACAGTCATGCCTCACTTAACAGGGAGATACATTGTGAGAAATCTGTCATTGGATGATTTCCTTATTGTTGCAACATCATACAGTGTACTTACACACTGTATGTAAATAACTCCACATGACCTCTTACTGAGTTTTTGAGACAGGGTCTTACTGTGTAACTCAGGCTGGTCTTGAACTCTAATCCTTCTGCATCAGCATCCTGAGTGCTAAAATTATAGGCATGTGACACCATGCTGAACTCCACGTGCCCTCTTGGTGTAGTATGTAGAGTGTGTATGAGGCTGCTGCCAGTGTAACATGACATACTGTTTTATAGCTAACTTTTTTTTTAATAAATAGAAGATACTCATTGAAAGGTATAGTAAAATAACAATGAAAAGTATAGTTTAATAAACACATAAACCAGTAACAGTCATTTATTATCAAGTACTGTGTACTATATATAACTGTATTTGCTGCACTCTTTATACTGCTTGCAAAATTTTGCACACCAGGATCACCACAGGTAGGAATACTCTGTTACACTATGGTCTTAGGATGATTTGGTAGGAATTATTCAGCTCCATTATAATCTTACAGGATCTCCATTGTATATGTTCTCAGTCTTTGACTGAAGTGGTGTTATACAACATGTGACTACTTCAGTGTGAAATTTTGAAAATTTGCAGTGAAAAATTTATGTTGAGTTAGGGCACAGAGTGACATAGGCACTGGTAAAGCATGAAAGTAAATGCTGAACATTTTGGAGGTTAGAATTTTGATTTACTATGATAAGGAAACCCATGGGATGAGCAAATTTGGTAGGGTAGAGATAGGAAGTAGATTTTTGATAGGGTAAGTTTCAGTTTCTTGCTAAATCACCAGTTAGATTTGCTTATTAATGTGTCCGTAGTCTTGTTTAATCTTGAGGAATCTCTTTGTCTTTTATTTTTCATGACATTGACTCTTTGTAGTAGTTCAGGTCTGTTACCTAATAGAATGTCATACTTTCTGGATTTGTTTCCTTCTAATTGGTTAGGTAGAAATATACTTTTGATGAGAATACAACATAGGTGCCATCTGTACATTTTCCTGCATCACATTAGAAGAAATACCTCAACAGGTTGACCCACTATTGCTAAATTTGGTCATTTGGTTACGTTTAGAACTCTTCATTGCAAAGTTCTATTTCCCTTTTTATAACTAGTACTCATTTTGTGGAGGAAATGTGTTAGGACTCCCAGTAACTTTTAACATACGTTCTTTTTGGCCACTCAATACTGTAAACTTAAAAAAACCAGTTTTAACATCTTAACAATTCTACCGAAGTTGTTTCTCATATAATCAGAGGTTTAAAGATATTTCTGTTTGCCAGAATAAAAAATAAGGGACAGAAATGAAGTTGAAATGTGGAAGTGAATAGAGAAGGGCAGTGGTAAAGCAGGCATCAATGGTTCTTGGTGTTTGTTCATGTTTGGAGGTGGGTGCTGAACAATCATGATATCTGACACTTTGTTTCTTATGGCTGTTTTTAAAGTCATGCTTCTAAAATCATAAGCAACACTATATGCTTAACCTTTAAGGAATCTTGGTCAGAGGTAATTTTTGTTTGTTTGTTTTATAGGTTTAAGTGTAACACCAGCTATTTACATCTCCTCCTTCTAAGGTAAGTTATTTTCATTTTTTAAAGCAGTATTACTGTATTAAATTTGTTGTTTACATATTTTGTGCAGAAATAAATTTTAGTTGTGAAAATTTTATCAGTAATTTATTTACCACTGAGCTTATGGCCTTTATCACAGAGAGGAAGATTATCCTCAGGAGAAGGATCCTTTCTGCACACTTAGTGTACAGCAAGATAGATGCTCAGTACTTGCGTACTGAGGAAAATTGGTAGGTTGTCATGGAACCACGGCTTTACGCAGTTTTGGTAAATCTCAGTGTGTCTTAACATTGGCATCCTTGACCATTGGATTGAATGTATTAGTTCGTAGGGCTGTTTTAACAAAGTTCAGGTGGTGTATTCCTTATCAGAAGTACTTAGGATGAGAAATTGTTCAAATTTTGGATTTAAAAAATTTTCCATATACATAATGAGATATCCTAGAGATGGGACCCAACTCTAAATGTAAAATTAATTTATATCTACATGCATGCCTTATTCTTACAGCTTGTTGGCAATTTTGTGTGGTATTTTTATTCCACCTTTGTTTTAACCATGACCTGTCTTGTGTAAGGGCAGGTGTGGAATTTTCTACTCGTGCTGTCATATTGGTGCTCAAAATGTTTCAGATTTTGGGTTTCTGTATTAGGGATATTCAACCTTTACTGCAAACAAGGTGGCATGCCTCTCTCCCAGTATTTAGGAAGCACAGGCATGAGGATCCGTTTGAGGCCAGCCCAGGTTACATAGTGAGTTCCAGGCCAGCACAGCATGGGCTACACAATGAGACCCTGTTTCAGAGGAAAAGAAAAAAAAAAATTTATTCTTTCAAAGATCTGGAGACTGGAAGTCTAAAATCGGTGTTTGGCAGAGTGCATGCTCTCCAAAGACCTTAGGGAAGACTCCCTCCTTACCTCTTCTGAGCTTTTTGTGGTTGCTGGCATTCCTTGGTGTTCACTCTAATTATTGTGTCTGTCTTCACATGGTCGTCTTATGTCTCTGTCTTCTCTGTCTCCATATCTTTCCTTTCTTATAAAGATACTAGTTAGTGTATTTTTGGGGTCCAACCTAATCAAATATAAATAAGCTGGTCAACATGGGGTTTGAGATTTAAAGGTTGTGTTCTTTAAATGACGTATATTATGTGATGTTTGTGAGTAAATGTCAAATCCAAATTATTTTAAGTTTTTCTTTATTCTTTTCCTCCATTTAAATAAAACAGCAGTATTAATGCAGCAAGCCATAAGCCATAATGTGGCATGCCATCCTTTTTGAGAGGTGAATATTATTAAATAAAAATGGCTGACAGAAGTGGGAAGATTGTTCCGGGACACATGTATATTGAAGTGGAATATGATTATGAATATGAAGCAAAGGACAGAAAGATTGTGATAAAACAAGGGGAGCGGTACATCTTGGTGAAAAAGACCAATGATGACTGGTGGCAAGTCAAACTGGATGAGAATTCCAAAGCGTTTTATGTACCAGCCCAGTACGTTAAGGAGGTCCCCCGCAAAGCTTTGATGCCACCTGTTAAACAGGCCATTGGACTGCCAAATAATTCCATGAAAATGATACAGAGTCTACATCTTCAGAGATCCACAGAAAATGTGAACAAGTTGCCTGAGCTTTCGAGTTTTGGAAAGCCATCATCTGTTCAAGGAACAGGTCTTATTCGTGATGCCAATCAGAATTTTGGACCCAATAATAATCCAGGTCAGACTCTCAACCTCAGCTTGGACCTGACCCATAATAATGGAAAGTTTAACAATGACTCACATTCTCCTAAAGTTTCCAGCCAAAATAGGACACGCTTATTTGGTCACTTTCCTGGTCCAGAATTCTTGGACATAGAGAAAACTAGCTTCTCTCAGGAACAGTCTTGTGATTCAGCTGGAGAAAGCTCAGAAAGAGTACATCAAGATTCTGAATCTGGAGATGAGCTTAGCAGCAGCTCCACTGAACAGATAAGGGTAAGATTAAAAATGGAATAATGAAACACACACACCACCTTAGTAAAAATTATGCATTTTTAATTGAAATCTTAGTAACTGAGTTAAGACTACATGGATTCTATACTGATTTTAAGACCTGTTCTATTTTCATACATGTATACAAAATGCACCCAACCATATTTGTCCTACTTTACCCTCCTGTTTACCCTCCCCTTCCCACTGGTACCCACTCCTAGCAATACCTCTTTAATAGAAAAGGTTTTACTGTTTTCTAGCTGTACTTCTTTTATTTCCAGTAAGTCTTCAGGTAATGATGTATATATTAAAAAAGATGTCACTGGAATATTAACTGTTAACTTTTGCTCATTGAAACTTGTTTATCAACCTTTAATAACAAAACAATACAGAAATAGGTATCTATTCTCGACTGCACTAAATATTAGCCAGTAAGAATTTTTATGTGCCCTGATTTGAATTTTTCCCCCTCACCTAACTTTCTTTTGAGATCATGTCTACACCAGTTTATTTCTTTGCCTGAAGCTCTGTTGTAAGATTATTTATCAAGTTAAGTCAATGAGTAATTAAGAGGCTGCTCTTAGCCATGGAAGTATGTGGCTATAACTTTCCTTGTAACATTTGTGAATAGAAATAGGAAAGACAGAAGATTTTCTAGAAAAACTTCTTGTGTTTGAGGGGAAGGCATGAAGTATCCCTGTTGGCTTCTGGCTGTGTTCTCTGTAGATTTTTCTTCAATCTTTGTGTGGCACTGACATAGAAAATAAGTGTTTCCTGGAATTTTTCTGTACATAGCTCTTTATGGAATGAATGGGTCTTGGGAAAGACCACTATTTCACACTCCAGGTTACATTTTATTATTACATGCATGAGCAATCCTGTTTTTATTATGGCCATCTTAAATTTGCTGCAATGGAAGTTGATGGCTCCTTTCCTGTCCTGGGCCTTAGCAGTGTTTGGAAATCCTATTAGATTTGCCTAGCCAGCCCTTTTCCTAACTCTGCATAGCAACTTTTTAAACCTTTTCCATTTTCTTCATTTTGCTTACTTGGTCCTGCTCTCATCAGATAACCATGCTTTACATTATAGCAAAACCAAAAGCCATGGTAAAGAAACTACTTCAGCTTTGGGGTGCATGTTTTGCATAGTAGTTAATAGTGGCTTTAAAATTTAATCTGGTTCCATCACTTGCCAGCTGTGTGATAATTGGGGAGAATTACTTTTTTTTTCCTTTGCAGCGCTTGAGATCAAACTCAGGGCCTCATATGCTATACAAGAATTCTGTTATCACTGAGCCACACCCCACCCTGGGAAAAATTACTTAACCTCTATGTGTTGTAATTCATCTTAAAACTAGGGATCACAGGGTTATTGAGGCACATAGTAAGAGTATTAGGTACTTATTTGCTGCTTAATAAACTATTCCCAAATTTAGTGGCTTAAAACAGAAACAGTATTTTGTCCTGTTTCTGTTGGTCAATCAGCAGTTTAGCTGATGGTTCTGAAGACTGGGTCCTCTCTTGAGGCTGTAATCTTATGCGGGAGGGACTGGGTTGAGGAGCTGTTTCTTCTGGTGTGTGTTAGGCCTCTTCATGGCTGCTGAGTGTTGTGACTGGCTTTCCCCAGAGAGAGCAATCAAGGACAGAATGTGGTAGAAACTGCACTCTTTTTTTACCCTAATCTTAGAAGTCTTGCTGTCATATATGCTATTGATTATGCAGTTAAGTCCTCTTTCCTTTGAGAGCAGTCTACACAGAGATGTGGATAACTGGATTCAAGGATCAGTCAGGACCACCTTGAAGGGTGAGCTATCACAGTAAGCTTTTAGAAAAACAGTTGCAGCCAGGTGCCGGTGGCTCATGCCTGTAATCTTAGCTATTCAGGAGGCAGAGATCAGGAGGATCGTGGTTCAACGCCAGACCCAGGCAAATAGTTCATAAGATCCTATCTCAAAACCTTCTCTCCCCGCCCCCACCCCAAAAAAAGAGAGCCTGGTGGAGTGGTTCAAGTTGTAGGCCCTGAGTTCAAACTGCAGTACCCTAAAACAAAATGAAAAAAAATCAGTTGCCATTATAATAGCTGCCATTATTGTAGTCATTATTTCTCTTGTTATTTCCACCATCAAATCTGTAAGTATCTGCAATCATCTTTTCCCCTGATACAGTGCAAGCATTGCCTGTCTTGTTAAGGACAATCTCTTCATATTTGCTCTTTGTACTTTTTCATGAACTTTGTACAAAAGATTGTAATAGTGTTCTCATACGGTTTTTAGATGTGACTTTTGTTAGATCTTTTCCGCCAGGAATTAAATTTTCTCACATTTTTCCTGTCTTAGTAAAGCTCTTCTTTAACTCTCCCTTCCCCTCCCTTTATTGCTCTTTTCCTTCATTGGCAACTTCTGGAAAGCCTTGTATGTATTTGACTCCCTGCATGTCCTCATTTCCTACTTACTCTGTAACTGTCATGGCTTCTGGTTGCACCACACCACCCAGTTGCTTCTGTTAAAGATCATCGTGGTTTCATTGTTGATGAATATACAAATAATTAAAAATTTTTTATACATAATTAATACCATTATCACAGATAACAAAATTAACCAGTCAGCAATTTTAAATGGTTTTTGAGGCATAGCATAACCAAGTTTATAAATTGTACTTATCTGTATGACTTGGTGAATTTTTACTTCCATACACATTCTATAACTAACCTTGCACCCCTTCCTGTTCAATATCCGTACCTTTAATTCTTATGTTCTTGCTAGGTGATTTTCATTTTTTAGATTTCAGTCATCTTAAACTATTCATTTTGAGATAATTGCAGATTCATAAGCAGCTATAAGAAATAATGCAGAGAAATTCATGTTCTCTCTATCCAGTTGTCTTCAGTAGTAACATCTTGCAAAACTGTATCACAATCCAAAATTTCTGCATTAGTACAATTACTATATGGAGCATTTCTGTCATCATCAGGATTCCCCATGTTATCCTTTTATAACCACACTCACTTCCCTTTCACCTCATCCTTCCTTAACCCTGGCCATTACTAATCCTTGCATTTCAAGAAATGGAATCATATGTTACTTAGCCTTTGGGGATTGGCTTTTTCACTCACCACAATTTTCTGGTGATCCAGTTTCTGTGTGTGTTAGTAGTTCATTCTTTTTTGTTACTGAATTATGTTCAGTGGTATGGATGTACCCTATTTAACCGTTTTCCAGTTGATGAAATCCGGGTTGTGTCCAGTTTTTGGCTAATGCAGACAAAGCTGCTGTCAACATTTTGTATAGATTATTGTGTGACGATAACTTTTCATTTCTCTGGGATAAATGCCATGGGTATCAGTTGTTGACTGTAAAGTAGGTACATGTATAGTTTCTTAGGAACCTACCAAACTGCTTATGCAGAGAGGCTGTGCCGTTTTACATTTTTATCAGCAGTGTCTGAGTGACTCAGTGTTTTTGTATGCTCAGCAGTATTTGGTGGTGTTACTGGTTTTTGTTTTAGCAATTCTAATAGGTGTGTAATGATACCTCATTGTGATTCTAATTTGCATTTTTGTGTTTCCCTCGTTGCTGTGAGTGTTTTTGTTTTTCACCCGGGATTGAACTCAAGTCCTCCTCCTATTCCCCACCCCCCAACATGCTAAGCACATGTTTTACCATTGAGTAACACTGTCAGCCCCAAATAACTTTTCAAGCCTTATTTGCCATCTATATATCCTCTTCTTTGAAATGTTTCTGCGTGTGTTTTGTCCATATTCTAATTGGATTTTTTTATTTTACTGTGAAGTTTTGAGAGTTCTTTATCATCTAGGTATAGCTATTTGTCAGATATATGGTTTGCACATATTTTTTTCCTATATGTAGTTTGTCTTTGCATCATCCTAGTAAAGTCTTTTGCCAAATGAAAGTTTTTGATTTTGATGAATTCTAATTTATCACTTTTTCCCTTTTATGAATCATGCTTTCGTTTCAAGTCTAAGAGCTCATTGGATGAAGTTTTATGCTTCTCTAAGAAACAGAACCAATAGGGGGTGCGTGTGTGTATACATGTTCATTTATATGTATAAAGAATTACTTTAAGGATTTGGTTCCCACAGTTATGGAGGCTTACAAATTCAGACTCTGTGGAGTGGACTGGCAGGGTGGAGGCATAGGGAAGTAGTGATGCTGCACTTCACATCTGTCAGCTGGTGGGATTTCCCCTTGCTTGGGGGAGAGGTCATTCTTGCTGTATCCAGGCCTTCATCTGATTGGTTGAGGCCCCCCACATTATGGGGAGAAATCTGCCTTACTCAAAATCCACTTTTTAAAATGTTAATCTCGTTCCAAAACATTCTCACAAAGACATCCAGAATAATGTTTGATCAAATAATTGAGCCTTCTGACCCCTCCAAATTGACACATAAACCAGGAGTGGTGGTTTACGCCTGTAATTCAACCACTCCTGAGGTGGTGAGAGGAGGATCAAGAGTTCATGGCTAGCTTGGGTTATATAGCAAGTTTGAGGCAGCCTGGGCTACATAGGGAGACCCTGTCACAAAAATAACAAAAAAAAAAAGAAAAAACCAGTTAAATTGATGCATTAAAAAAACTTCCACAGAAGCCCAAGATCCTGAATGTTTCCTTCTGTATTTTTTTTTGGAAAGGTTTGTACTTTTACACTTTTTCAATTTGTGATCTGTTTCTATTTTAACTTTTGTATAAGGTTTGAGACTTAGATCAAGGACTTACTGCCTGTGGATTCTAGTTTTTAAAGTACCATTTGTTTCTTTTAATAAATTGCTTTTATGCTTTTGTTAACAATCACATGGGTATATTGTGTGGGAATATTTGTTTTTGTTACTTTGTTCCCTTCTCTAATACCATTTAGCCTTAGTCGCCTTTCAGTTAAGGCTTGAAGTTGGGTAAACCCTTTCCTTTCACTTCATTCTTTTTCAAATATCTACCAAAGATACCAGTTTGTAACCTCTGGCACCTGTAAATATTACCTCATTTGGAAAAGAGTTCTTTGTAGACGTGACTTAAGGACTTTGAGATGAGAAATTATTCTGGGCCCTACAGATAATCACAGATGTCCTTATAAAAGAGGCAGAGGGCACCACACACAGCA